CCCCGTCTCTTTTCTCTCCCTCTCTCTCTCATCCTTCTCTCTCACTTTCTGTGTGTTTTCTTTTTCCTTTATGGTAACCCCTATTAACTTGGCTCCTAAGTGATAACACACAAGCATGTGGTAAACCAAGGGTATCAGCACTAAGCTACTATGTTCCCAGCCTCCCCCTTTAAAACAAACATAGAAACAAAGAAACAAAACAAAATGGGTCCTTGCTAAGTCAATTAGTTGAGCTTGAAGTTTTGATCTGCTTGCCTCAGCCTTCCAAGAATTGATTTTCTTAGAAATGAGTGTCATGGAAATCTGGTGAATAGGTGATTTTCATCTTAATTATTTGTTTCCCTTACCCATACGATCTCCTTTAAAATCCATTTATTAGATGGTTCATTAATATGAAGCTGCTTTATGCAAAGATGTTTTAAAAATGTGGAGAGAGGCTAGTGCTCAGGTAACCTGGCTCGAGTGGTAACATACAAGCATGAACTATACAAACATTTTAACTTAGAAACTTGAAAATGTTAATAATGCTGGTCCACAATTTAAACAGGAAAATGAACTTAAATTCTATATATACTTTTGGTAGCTGAAAGGAAATTAGTTCAATACTACTTAATATCTTACTAACTTACTTGGCATGAATTATTGCCAAGTATATCTGTTGGTTATTTTGTGTGTGTGTATGTAAGCATATTTTTCCCCATAGGGAGATTTTGATTACATGTATCTTAAAAGATAGGTGAAAAGAACTAGTGTAGTCACTTTTAAGCCCTTTGAGACTATTCTTAGGAAAGAAAAAATCCAAAAATGTGTTTATTTTAAGCTCTCAGCACATGGCCAAAGACAGCCGAGTTGACCTTTTAGGGGTGGTAAACCAAGTGAAGAGACAGAAACACAGAAAGGGAGCAACCTTCATGAGGAAGCAAACCAAGGAACCAGTTCCTGTAAGCACCCTCCGGGGTGGGGAGAAGGAGGTGGGGGACAGAGGGAGAGGGCTCTAGCAGTTGCCTGTTGGACAGTCGGCCGCATTTCTGAGTCTCCTCCAGTCTGAGTTTGAGGGAACTACAGAAGCTACCTTGACACTGATCATTCCCACAGTTGCTGTGAGCACCCTCTCTTCTTGAGAATGCTTAGGGTTCACAGTTGCCACCTTCACTGATAAAAGGAGTGAATGAGTGGTCTTAAGGTGATCCAGAACTGTTTTTAGATTTTTAAAAAACCCTTTCAGAAGCTGTATTTTGAAGGAGACAACTGGTTTATTCCGTTATTGTTAAAAACAAATAACTTGCCCTATCACACTGAACCATATGTGGCCCACTTTGAGAACAGTTGAGTAATCTTGTATATTGCTTCTCATACGCTAATCTGATATACAAACTACCTCTTTGAAATATAAAAGTGTGTCATTTGTTTGACTTAAAACAACCAAGTTTTTTATGCAAGTATTACCATGTTTTAAGAGTACTTATTTTTCTAATTTGTCCACAGATTCCTGACTCTCTTATGACATACCCTGAACAGAACTTACATGTCTGACCAACCATGTGCTTGTCTGTGTATCTGTCTTCAGGAAGGGAATTTTTTAGTTCTTTTCAATTATAAAACTCATTGTTTATCAGTACAGTTAACACATCTTTGAGAAGTTTTAGATTGTATTTCTGAAGGCTGATAGATTTGTGGGGAAATGAGCAAAAGCTATCATTCTGAAACTCCAGAATCATTATTACTTATACAAAGTGCAGAAACTTGTGAATCTGAAAGGAAAAATAAAGACTCCAGATAGCCGCTGTGGCTGGCTTTGGGGACAGATTCTCACTGTCTGCCCTGCCTGCAAGGCCGGTGGGCTCCGCCCTCCGCAGCTGCTGGGGCCTTCAGAGCGGCTGGGGCAGCATCTAGAAGTCTCTTTTCAGTGCAGGATGCAGTTAATTTACAGCCCTGCTATGTAGAGGTTAAAAACCATGATTTTCTAGTGTGTTTTCCCCCCAAAGCCAGATAAGTTTACTTTCTTAAGCATAAAAATAAGCAATATATCTTTTCAATAAATCTGCTAGCACTGTAGGGCAGCTGCTAACCAAACGGAGCTGGAGATAGGGTTACTGGAAGGGGCTTGAAGGGCAGAGCTGGTGACGCGGGATCTGGGAAGAATTTGTTTCAGCTTATAGTCGGTACATTCCTTGCTTTCTGCAGATGTAGTGAAGGATCTTAAGTGCCATTGCTCTGAATTTAAAACGAAGCAGAAAACCTTATCACCTCTTTCCAAACAATGCCACTTTAAGTAGAACAAGAACTGGACACCTTAATGCTTCCATGCCCCAGTTAGGGTGAATGTCTGCAGGGCGGGTCTTTCTGCTCTAAACTGCACGTCTCCTGTTTTGCAAACTGCATGCTTAAAGTTATTGATTATTTTACTCAGTGCAGATGATTTAGTATGTTGCATAGAAAAAAAGCAATTTTGTTTTCTTTCTAAAATATATCTGTTAAACATTAACATTTGCTTTTATTTCAGCTCGATTTGTACTCTAATAATGGCTAATTGTTATGTTCTCAGCACTTGTTTCTCTTGTATGCTTTAATTAATAGAGAAGCGTATTGCAATAGCTTTTTCTTTAAAAAAGTCTAGGAATTTTGCTTTTCAGAGTAAGATTTTCTTTTGCTTTTATTTATTTGTTTTTTTAAGTTGCCTCTTGGGAAAGTAAGGTTAATGCCATATACAGTACTAGTTTGCATGTGTTCATTTAAATACTAAAAACTGCAGTACTGCTCGATCCATATCTGACTGCTAGGTTTCAATTGACAGCTGAGGATTTGTGACTGGACCGTGAATCAAAACGGCAGGCATTTATACCCCAGTACCAGTGAGGATACATTGGGAATTACTTGGCAAAGGTAACATTTTAATTATTTCCAACCCTACACTTACATCGAAAAATTACATGACCTATAGTGTTTGTTTTTAACTAGTTTTACAGAAAATATATGTTACAAACTTAGTTGTCTTGGCTATACCATCCCTGTTCCCCTACCCCTCTTCTTTATTTCTTATGTAAGTGCAACATCAAGTTAATTTGGAACCACAGCTAACTGGTGATTGGAATTTCTGAATACTGTCAAATGTTTGTTTATATTCTCGGTGGGGATGCGGGTGGAATTAGAAAGTTAGACTTTAGGACCTAAAAAATGGGAAGATTTTTTTTCAGCTATCTGAGCATTAAGATGTTGTCTTGTCACAGTATATCTTCTCATTTTGCTTCTTTTCTCTCCTGCTGACTCTAAGCCATTATGCTGTTCATTTATTCATCTATCAAGGAGAAAACACTTGAAAAAAACCTGAAGTTAGTCTATTTAGCTGTTACAGGAAGGCTTCTAAATTCTGGAGTGGGATGATGTTTCGAATCCATAGCTAAGCAAGGACCTTGTTTTAAAGAAACTTTTAATTTCTGACTGTATACTGATGTGGCCCAGAGAGGATCTCCATTATTTGATTGATTTAAAAGTTATTGTACATCTTCATTTTCAAAACCAGTTTGATATTAACTCGTGTTGGTTTTAAAACATAAGTAGCTTCTTCTGTGTTATTTTGACGAGAAACAATTGGGTCAAATTGATAATCAAAGTGAATGGTGTAATCCTATGTAATAAGAGAGAAAAATTGGCCAAGACAGTGAGGTAACCCCTTGAGTCTAATGACAGTAGAGCCAGCGAAATGTCGCAGCCCCTCTGTGATTGCCCCTTCCCTCCAGGAAGGCCCTGTGCTGGTGGGAGAGCTGTAGGGTCTGCTCGTCTGAAAGAAACCGGGAAGAGTAAAGTCTGAAAAAGCAAAGCTTATTACATTTCCACTTTACTCAAGACAGACTTTAAGAAAATTATTCAGATTGTTTTTTAAAATTCAATAACTATTATTTTAACCCTTAAATGATTATGTTATGACTTCTCTTCCTTTTAAAGATTAGTATATCAGCTTTAAAATTAAATACATTTTCACCTATTGTAATTTTTTTTCCCCAAGGTGTATGTATTAGTCCTTTTTTGGAGGGAAAATGCAATATATACTTACAAAAATAAGATAAACTTACTGGAAATATCTTCTTTAAATAATACTAAAGTTAATAGTATTAATTAAACTAAGTGAAAGTATCTTATTTAAAAAGTCTGAATTAATAAGCCTTTAAAAGTTAACTTAGTTGGGTTTGATAATACAATGTTTGCATTTTATTTTATTAAATAACCTTGCTGTATTTGAAGCCCTGCCTATCTCAGAGTGGCGTGTGTGTGTTTGTGTGTGTGTAAGCTTGCCACATTTTTTAGAATTGCAAATCTAATAAAATGTACCAGTGATTTTAAGTGTACTTGAACTTCCAGAAATGTTGGCTACTGGTTGGTATTTACTTAATCTGAAATAGGATAGCACCTCTAAAGTACATTAAAAACCAGGAAGTTGTAAATTATTGGCAATTTAAGATATAGCTAGTAATTTTTTAGTCAAAAAGTGATAACTCTTATTTAGAGCAGAAAGTGGATTGTCAGGGTATCACAGAACACACATGCAAGTGAATGCGTATGTTGATTAAAGTCAGTTATTATGGTGGTGCTGGTCATGCTACTTATCCCCTTCTTGGCAAAAATTGTGGTAATCTGTTTGGAGTCTTAGTAAGTCAAAAAACAGTTCAGAATTTATCAAGATTTCCTTTTCTACTCCCTCCCAGAAATAGTATTTTTAAACATTAGTAAATGAGACAATGTAGACCGGCCCAAATGGTCCATAAAGCTCTTACCAAGGTAGCGTCGTGTTTGTTTCTTCCTTTTTAATCATGACTCAGAAAGCACACAACTCTTTGCACCCTGCTGTTATCTGCTGAGGCTTGGTGTTGGGGTGTGTAACTGCTGTGGTGGACATAGAGAAGCACACAGCTCTGAAATTCAACTGTCACACTCCAAAACAAATATACTCCAGCAAGACAGCAATTTGCTTTGCTTTGTTACCATTTTCAAAATGGACATGAAACCATGTTGCATGACATGAATAAGCCAGGTCTCTGGCACGGTGGCTGTATGCATAATTTATACGTTGTGCCCTATAGTCATTTTTTAAACTTAATGTTTTTTTTTTCTGTACGTATTATATTTAAAAAGGAAATCATTACTGTCTGCAACACTACCACTTTTAAGAGCGACCATAGCCTTCTAAGGTCTTCAGGCACATAGCTGCAGCTCCAGAGTCATTTCACTGAGTTGAAAACATCTGCAGCCCATAGATCTGTCAGCCAGAGAATTAAAATTTGCTTTCAGCATGAAGGAATAGAGAAGATATCACAGGTGACCATTATTGTGTCTATTATTTTTTTGTTTTTAATGAAAGTCAGTCCCTGGAGACCTCATAGGTGAAAAAGGACAGAGCTGAGCGTGTGTTTTGGTTGGCTCTATTTTGGTTGGACTGTTTGTTGTTTGTTGCCATTGCACTTGTCTGTGGCTGTCTCCTCTTCTGATTTATGCCATTGCCCTCTTGAGGGGTTTCCATGTCAGCACTGTTCCATTTGCAGGGGAAAGTGGCAGGGCCCAGGGAGGTGAGCAGGCGCTGTAGTCAAAGGCAGGGGCCCCCACCCTCCCCCCTGCACCTCAGCATGTGAACATTTCCTGAGGAACCAGAGCTGACGCCGGGAAGTGTTCACCGACTGTGGGCCCACAAACCTGCCGGTGTTTTGTTGCTTTGACCTCAGAGTTTTGTGGGCCGTTTTCCTGTGTGCCTCTGTGTGTGTTTGCATGTGTTCTTGTGCTCCTGGTCGGAGGAGCTGTTGCTCTGTGGGAAAATGAAGGGCTCTGCCCACATGGAAGAGTTGCTGGAGTTAACGCAGTGTGTGGTGGAGGCCTCACCTCTGCTTGGGTGAGGATGGGCTGAGCCTGCAGGTGAGGAGCAGGTGACAGGTCCCTGAGTCGAGACTCCCTGTGTGCTTTGTGGCGTTGCGTGGACCAGTTACGTTGTTTTTGTACATGTGAGTTCTGCGGGCATAAACACAGAAGTCAGTTACTCCTCAACCGGCTTTTTTTCTTGAAACTACACCCAGAACCTTGCTGGTGCTATCAAATATGAAAGAGCAATGTAATTGAATGAAAAAGAAAGCTGGAGGACAGTCCAAGAATAATATAAACATAAGTTATTTTAAAACACTGGAGTGAATGCTTTGTGCAAAGAGAAACTGGATTTATTGTTTCATTCTCCCTTCTCCCCCTTCACCCCTTGCAGGAAAATGCAAAGCCACAAGCGAGTGGCTGTATGTGTCTGATGGCTTATATAAACATAGAAGAAGCCTTCAGATGGCTAAAATAAACATGCGCGTGTTACTGATGGATATGTTTACACAAACCATTTGCTCAGCCTCTGAAATAATGAATAAATGAAGATTTTACTGAAATAATTGGAAGGATTTTTGTGTTTCTGCTGATGCCATAATTGAATGGCACCACAGAGACTTTTATCAGCTATTTTCCATGTTACATGTGTTAGCAGTTCCTTTCTGTGAGTTGAATACTTCATTCTGTAGTTACTTTACACATGTTTTTGTAAGAAATTGTCGTTTATTACTGCAATTCTGGAGAGCTGCTTGATTTCCCAAGAGAAATTTAGCAGCCAGTAAAGGTTATTTGGATCTGGCTGGTCAGGAGGGGAGGGCAGAAAGCAAGAGGTAACAGCATTTACTTCAGGCATAGAACTATCTGCATAACACTGCCCTCAACCACTTACCCTTTCCTTTGCTTTGTTCCTGGCATTTTCTTTGTAAAACGAAAGCTCTCAAAAGATTTTATGATGAATACTTAAACAAAAACAGTTTTCAATTTGTGTTGCAAACGGTACGTTGGCACGCACATGTATGTGTCTGTGTGTACTCACAGGTAGGTGTCATGTACGTGATGAGGCCAGTTCATACTTAAGAGTTAACTTTTATTTCAACCTTCGAGTCAGACCCTCTCTGTGAATTCGCTGGGTGAGCGTTTCCTGCTCTCAGTGCGTCACGTTGACACGTAACTACAGTACAACAGCTGGGTTGTTGCTGGAGTTCCTGGGGGAGCTTTGTTCTCAGAGTGCTGAATTTCCTTTTCAGCTGTTAGCCCTAAAGTGTGTTCAGAATGTTCGACTTTTTATACATCATCCTGGACCCCTAGCACCACTCTGGGACCATGGTAGGAATGCTGATAAGAGAGATGAATGGAAGGATCTTTGGTTCAAGGCAAAACTGCAGAAGCCAGAATTGCACGTTACCATTGTCTGATGAGAGCTGCCCAGCAGTGTTGCTCTTTGTACTTGGACATTCGCATGAACAGAATTACTCTCCATTCTCATAGAAATCATTTGCACCTGTTATAAAATCAAAACTAGAAATGTTACCACTCTTAAAAACGATCTTGATATGACTTTAAGACACACCATACCTCTAATTTGGCTGTGGAAAATTTCTTGAGATCTATTGTAGTTTTTGCCTAACTTTGCCCATTTATAAAGAAAGGTTTGTACAACATGCCGTTTCCTTTTTATCTAGGCAAACTCTTCAGAACACTTCCTAAGAAATTAATTGTATTCCAGCCAGACTTGCACGCTGCCATCCCACAGGAAATGGGTCAGCAATCCATTAAGATGCCATTAGATAATCTAATTTGGAACTTAATCTCTAAATTAACCATGCTCCATACTTGAAGCATACTTGAGAGAAAGAAAAAAAGTTTACGTTTGAATCGATAGGGGAGCCGAAGCGTGAAGAAAGCTGTTTGTTTTTTCTGTAGCTGTGGTCACGTCTCAAGCCGTCTGGTAACCAGGAGAAACCAGACATGATGTAATTCCAGATTGAACTTGAACTTCAGGGACTTAGGCTGGGGGAACAAAGGGCCATAGGAATCAA